ATATTCCTTACTCTTAGTTATCTTAATACCGAGTAATATCTTTATTATTATTTTATATCGTCGGAGTTTTTTTATTTCTTTTTATTCCTTAGTTTTATATTAATTAAATACTTTCTCTTTAGCGTATCGTAGGTAATTTATTAACTAATATCTACGCTATATCTTTTAGTTTTATATATATACTTTAAGGTATTTTATTAATTACCTTAGTATTATATATCCTATACTAGGTTCTATATATATATATTTATAAAACTTTATTTTATATTTTTTATATAGTTTATTAATAATACGGGTAATTAATCCCTTAATTAAATAAACTTAATACTTTTCTTTATTAAGTATATATATTTTATAAAAGTAGTATATATAAGAGATCTATAAGAGTTTATAGTATTCTAATATATCTAGGCGTATATATAGGTTATCTCCCGGGGCCGTCCTTTAGTTTATTACTTAATTAATTCCTCCGCGTAGCGTTTATATAAGGATAACTATCTAGAGGTCTTTTCCTTACGGTAGAGGGTTATACCGATCTATCGTTATTTTTATCTATACCTCTAGGGTTACTTATCTATATAATAAGTTAGTTTTAAGTATCTATTTCTTTTATAAGAGCTCTTTATCGCTATTTATAAATTTAGTATCGGATAGTTCTTTATCTATATTATCTAAGTACTTTTCTAGTCCTATAATAACTTTATATATTATAGCTAGGGCGCGAGACTTATATAGCGCTTTAAGAAATTATCTTAAGTTTTCTTTATTATCTTAATAAATTAAGTAATTATTATTATAGTATCCCGATTAATATAATACTTCGTAAGGTATTAGTTACTTCCTTACTTTTTCTCTAGCTTTTTTTATTTCTTCGAGGAATTTTTATTATTCTTTCTCCTTAAGGGTTACCTTATTTTATAGAAGGCTAATATTATATCTAAACTTAGTTATATTTAGTTATTTCTTACCTTTAAGTATTAAGTTCTAGCCCTAGTTTTATTCCTTTTTTAGTAATTTATAATCTCGCGTAATATAACTTTTTTTTATTATAATTATAATATTTAATATTCTTTTTATTTATCGCGGCGAGTTTCCGTTATATAGCGTTAAGGTTTATTAATCTTATATAAGTTCCGCTAAGAGCCGTGCTTTAGTAAAATTAAGGTCGGCTTATATTAGGATAAATCCGGCCCTTATTATTATAATCGTGGTTTAAGGCGTTAGTAAAGTATTATCCTTTCTTCTCGCGTTATTATTCGAATTATTAATTATCGATCTTAACGGCTATCGCGATATAGCTCGCGAGGGTAATAAGTCGGTTTTCTTTATATAGCTTATCCTTAACCTCGTCCTTAAGACCTCGGTAAAAAAAGGCTATCTTATCTCTTTTACTCTTAGTAATCCTAGACGCGATTTAAGTAAATAAAGCGCTATAGTCCGAGGCTAACTTTTTTTATTTTAATACCTTTAATTAATTTTCCGCTAAGTATTCTTTATCGATAGTCTTAAAAGTTATTTTTAATATTTCTTTAAAGTTATTATAATACGCGAAGATATCTTTTATATCTTATTTTTAGTATTAATAAGTATTAATTACGAAATCCTTAAGGGTAGGCTCGAATTATATAAGAGCGGCTCCCGATAGGTATCTTATTACGTAGCGTACTTTATTTTCTTCTATACGAAAGATAGATAAGAAGTATTATTAATAAGCTCTAACTTAAGTTAAGAATCCTTAAAGGTCCTTAGTTATATTATTAAATAGTCTTAGTTAGCGTAGCTTTATAATCTCTCTTAGATCTTTATTAATAATTTATTAAATAATATTATTATTTATATTATTTATTTTATTTCTTTATTAAGCGGCTTCTATTATTATAAGGTTATTCTTTTATTAAAAGAGTAATAAGCCTCGTTATATTATTACTTATCGCGAGCTTATATACCGAGGACTTATTATAGCTACCTTTATAACTCTTAAATTTACCCCTTAAGGATCTTTATATCCTTATCGTTAGATTTATTTAAGTTTAAGTCTATAAACTAAGCTATCTAAGAGGGCTTAGTATACTTAGCTATAGTCTTACCCTTATCGGCGGACTTAAGGGTTATCTTAGAGGGTTCGTTAGCTATAATATCGTATTACTTAAGTACTTAATATAATAATATACTAAATAAGAGCTACTAATATATAATATTCGGGTTAGACTAGCTATAGGGTAAGTAAATCTAAAGTTAGTTTATAAACTAAGTATATTAAAGTATCGTTAACTTAAGCGGTCGGGTTATAGTCTATATATAAGATAATAAATCTTATATAAATAATTATATTAATAGCTAAGGAGCTAGTAAAGACTAACTATAATAAAGCTAGGCTTTTTATATATTAAATAAATATTATATAATTAACGATAGTCGATTCTTATTTACGAGCGCCTTTATAGTATAGTTAATTATAGTCGCTAGTCGCCTATAGTTATTTACTATACGTAGTATACGGGTAATATATAATAAGAGGGAAAAAGCAAGGGGGTACGTAAGAGGCGTATATAGTCGTATATTAGGTCGTAATACTACGTATAGTAAATAACTATAAGCGACTAGCGACTATAATCGATTATACTATAAGAGCGCTCGTAGATAATAATCGACTATCGTCGACTATATAATATTTACTTAGTATATAAAAAGCCTAGCTTTATTATAATTAGTCTTTACTAGCTCCTTAGCTATTAATATAATTATTTATATAAGATTTATTATCTCGTATATAGACTATAACCCGACCGCTTAAGTTAACGATACCCTAGTGTACTTAGTTTATAAACCGACTTTAGATCTACCTACCCTATAGCTAGTCTAACCCGAACGTTATATAGATTAGCCTTGAATCTGTCCTGCAGCCACTGCTCTATTTTAGCGATAAAGACAGACCGCAAAGCCTGTGTATCGTGAAGGTCTACCCTTAGCTCGGGTATCTTAACGAAACAGAAGCCGTTCTTATCTAGGCTGAAGGTATCTTCTCGGCCCCTAGCGGAACAGAACTCGACCGGCCGCTTGTCGAACTTTAGATTCGATCTTAGTTGACCACTTGGCAAGGGAATGTTAATGCAGAAGGATTTCTCCGTTAGGTATGATGAGTCATCGGCAATGAAACTGAGAGCGCGTATGTGTTTCTGATCGGGATTCCAATCGTTGCTTGCCTCGTCGTAGTCCGGAAAGACCAACTGGGTAGAGTTTCTATACGCCGATGGTACTGCGGATCCCTCGGTAAGCTCTGGCGACCCAAGAGCTTCAAGGGGAGGGCGAGGCTTACTCTCCATGTTTTCAAATCTCTGTCGAGCGTGATACCTAGTGAGAACTAACCTTGTGCTTGTCTTCGATTGGCATTCACAATGTGCCGAAGTCTTCTGCCACTGCGCTTAATAATGAAGAATCGTAATACCCTAATATCTGCACTATATCGATCATCCGATGGCAAAGGGCAGATCATAGGCCGCCTCTGCTCCGCTTCTTTTCCCGTGTCCAGAAGCGGTATCGAGCACGGCCTGGTGACTGCTTCTGCGTAGTATCTACAACATCTTCACATTTAGTAGCCAATTTCTGGCCGTGGCAGTACACCATCCTCATATACGCTGCAGTGGGGTGGCGAAAGTCCCGCAGATCTTAGTTCTTCTTGTCACAACCCAAGTCATGACCTAGGAAGGAGCACGGACTAGGAGGGAGGGGAAGAAGGACCGGTCAGTAAGGACCCGAGGGGGAACATTCTATTATAGCAACCGAGCCCCCCTAAATCTTAGCTTCGGCGCTGCTCAGGCTCTTGGGGCTTATTATCTATTGTCGACAACCCCATGGCAGGTTGCCGTTTTCCTCCTTCAACTAGCAATCAAGCCAGGCTCTGCACAGCACAAAAACAACAGCTCAAAGAATCTGAAACAACCTTAGATCAGTTCATGTGGGTGACCGTACGAATCATCAAATCCAAAGAGCGAAAGCTAACAACGTGCTAGCTGTATGCCGCGGCCCGAAGATGAAGAACAGCCCTGGCACGAGCTCTACAACAAGCTAGGCATCCCTGTTCTCGGCGAGCTCGGAAGCCGCACGCTTGACACGGACGCACTCCCTGATAGCCGATTCTTGAGCAAGAGATGGTTTTCTCTGGAGCGCGGTGACATGGGAAAGGAGAAGGTGGACGCCCTTGCTGCTCGTATGACGGGCACTTTCCAGGGCCAACCGTGGTATAAGCTCAAGTCTCCGTACGCCAGAGGCACGTGCAGCAGCTGTGGAAACAACCCTTGCACTTGCATGGTCCTCGAAGGAGGTTGAATCCTAGGTAGTTCTGTCGTTCTTAGTGGGGTGATGAGAAGGTTCGAGACAGTTGTCTGCGGGATTTAGACATTCTCTACAGCTTCGCCTTGGCTAATCATGAAACCAGACAGCGGGGAGGGAGAGGGCTGGTATCACAAACCGGTGATGTAGGGCGTATGCTCGGGTTACTCTCGCTGCATGCCAATATTATGCTGTTTTCCATTTTGGTTTCACATGCATGTGCCGGGCACACCACCCCATTTCCGGACTTGGACGAGTGACAAGCCGTGTCTTACTTACATGTATGCAGACGGAAACGCGCCCTGCGGATGCGGTGCGAATTGATTGGGTATCGGGATGCCACCGTGTAGGGTATGTCTCCAATATCCCAGCAACCCTGCGTTCTGGCGTTATTTCCAGTGATTGAGGCTGCAGACTGTGGGATAGGAGGCGGCCTAGATACGAGAGAGACTAGGCCTGCTACAAGACTTTAAAGACCACTAAGTTACTGTTCGCTGAGTGTCCTAATTAAGAAAAGACCTAAAGCTGTCTCCTAGCTACGTGTCGAGGGTTAAGGAGTTAAGAACTAGACTAGGAGGGCATAAAACACGTCACGTCCTAATGGTAGCGTGAGAAAGTAAGGGTTCGAAATAGACTAGAATCGTGATGTGATAGCCATGTGAACGACGCAGGTAAGACGCCCGTGAGTACGTGACCCCGCCTGTACCTACGTATTTCTCTCACCGCCGCGACTTCGCCCGCCCAGAACCTTGTGTGACCACAGGTGGCAGACCGGGCTTTCTCCGGAGGTAACACCATCTCATGTCTCCTGCAGAACGACGAGCTCAATGCCTGCAGTGATTCAGTGAACCCCGCCTCGGATTGGATCAGGCTTCAACCCGGCGTGTTCAATTGACGACCACCTTTTTTTCATGTTGGTCTGACTTCGTCATTCGCGCAAGTCCGCCCTGTCATTGGAAATCAGTTTGCCAACGACAAGTGCGCCATAGCATTGAGCTGCTGTTTCCCACAAAGCCGCCGGAACAAAGCGACCAACGCTATGAAGTTTTCCGAGATCGACCTCGCAGCGTTCTATCGAGCGTCTGGCGAGAAGCCAGTCTTCGAATCGCGTTCCTCGCTTGAGTCTGATGACAGCGACCTAGCCAAGAGTGCGACGCGTATCTCTACCGTCATTGAGGTTGGAGAACTATCGTATCTTTGCGAGGAAACCCCGTTTGTGAGACAATCCGCGCCGTTGAACCGGTAGACAGCATGCTAACTTCACAGCAGCATTCTTCAAGGCTTTCCGACTCTTCCGCTATTAAGCAGCTGGCGTCCTTCATCCCGCCTGAGGGCCCCATTTCCTGTCAATCGTTGCAGAAGGTCATCCAACACGACTTGCAAGATGATGACGTCTTATCCTCCTCATTTTTGATTTCTATTGTGCTATTTACCCAGGAGACATCTTTGGATCGCGAAACGCTTGGACTATTGTCCTCGTTTGGTTACAAGAGACTATTTCTTACTAACACAAACATTGGAAAGGGGCCTTTCTTCTTCTCGTGCAATGGCATGTTCCGGGTTTTCAGGCTTTACCCCGACACGCACGATGCCTTCGTAACGAGCGTAATTCCCAGCCTGGCTGATAGGAACACGTGAGTCCGGTGCCGTCCTGATCCCCTTGTCCCTGAATAAGATTAAATGTTGCGATAGGTATCAATCTATTAGCGCATCGGCGTACGGACAGCGCACCAAATGTGTTGCCGTACCCTCGCGCCTTTACTTCAAGCGAACGAAAGAGCTGCCTCTCGCCGGAATTCGACTTTCGGTCAAGGATGTATTTCACTTGAAGGGCGTGGTGACAACTAACGGAAATCGCGCATACGAGAGCCTGTATGGCGAACAAGATGTCAGCTCGGCCGCCGGCCAGGCAGCCATCGACAAAGGAGCGATCATTGTCGGGAAGGCGATAACAGTGGAGTTTGCCGGGGCCCAGGAAGTTGAAGGTGACTGGGCTGACTTCAGGTATCCGAAAAACCCTCGCGCAGACGGATATCTCCGTGCCACGGGAAGCAGTGTAGGAAGCGCGTGTGGCATGGCAACCTACCCGTGGCTGGATGGGTCCCTGGGGAGTGATTGCGGCGAAAGCATCAGAGATCCTGCCGTCGCGTTTGGCGTGGCCGGATTTCGGGCCTCTCATGACGGAATACAGGAGAAAAATACATCGGTGCCTTGCCCGTGAGTATTGTTTCAAGCTTTAGATCAACGAGAGCCGCAAAGCCGCAGCCCTGCGGCGGGGAGATGCAGCCTGCACTAACTTGTCACTATCAGGCGTTTCCAGCGGACTGGCTATCTCACCAGAGATATGAAGACGCTTTGCGACCTCACGCATCACGCAGTCCGTCGGCTATTTGATGACCGGGAGGTGAGATGATGTACTCGACTGGCATGTGATTATGACTGATGTTCTGTCTTAGTCATGGCGGCCGAAGCGAGTCGTCACGATAAATGAATATGCCAGTGGAAGAACTGATGTGGATGCACTGTTTACCAAGACTGCCGAGAAATTAACCAAGTTCCTCGGTACTGAGCTTGTCAAAGTCTCGCTAGAGGATACCTGGGAGTGTACTAAACCTATCCAAACAGACAAAGGCTTTCTCTCGCACTACGCTAAGGCAAGAATTAAACTCACGAATCATGAAATTTCTCTAACTGTGAACCTCAGACCTTCATGACAGTAGTCAGGAAAGACTACTACGACAGCGGGGCCAAATTCCGGGAAGACTACCAGCGCAAGTTCGATGCTGCTCCCTTCGTCGCCCAGACAACACGATACCTATGGTATGGCCTCCTCTTCCATCATGAGGCGTCTGAACTGACAGGTTCTACAGGGGAGGCGCAACAGAACCTCCGGCCGAATTTGAAGAAGCTCTGCAGAAAGTGAAGGAACACAATGAGTGGTTCTCTAAGAACATCGTCGACGAAAGCACCATCATGGTTATTCCACGATTCAGTCTTGACCGCCGTGACGAGTATTTGCCGCGAGAATCCCTGCTCTTGTCTTTTTTTCCTGAACTAGATGCTAATTTGAGAAGTGATCCCTGGAAACGTGAATGGATGGTTTGGGATTCCAACTTACATGCATCCATCGGAGGCTGTCCAAATCTCATGATGCCCAGTAAGTGCACTGACTGGCTCCCGCTTATCTCAGCCCGAATCATGATACGTTTCGAATGGAACTGACCACCATGATTTGAAGTCGGCCAACTACTAGGATTTGAATCCGACATTTCACAGCGGCAGGAGGTATTCCCAGTCACCCTCGCTATCACCGGGGCTCACGGTAGTCCACCACCTTCTTCTGACATTTTCAAATCTAAAGATTGCGTTCTAGGCACTGACTTAGCAATTCTTCGTCTCATACACGACTTCTTGGCCGAACATGGACCTGCTACAGGTGTACAGCCTGGCAAGTCGGCTTATCCAGATAGCATGACCTTTTGACCAAGTTTCAGCCATTGGTGCACATTAGACATGCTCTCCTTTAACTTTCTTTAATATCTTAATCTCTGATCTTTCCAATATGAATACTCCCTCTGGATATTCCTCTGTAGCTTATTTTAATGAAGTCCTGAGATGAATATACCACCTTAGCATAACTAGGTACCTAGACAGACCACGGGCCTACTTGATGTGCGAACTGTCGCGATGAATACCTTGAGATGAGTACAATAGTGGATAATGTGCATGGAATTGGAACAACTTGATTATTTGTACAAAGCGATTACTGATGTAGCCAACTGCGCCAAGCCAACTAAAACGCCCAGTGTTCCATACAAGATGACGGCCCAAAACGTGTACCATTGGGCAGTGTTGCGCTTGTTCCTCCACAATTGAAGCGAACTCTTTGGCTCTTTGTGCATAACTACCTCGTTGAGGAAGTCCAGTTTGGCTTGCATCATTGGAAAGTCCGTGGCAAGGTAGTAGACGGGCTTGGGTTCATTTGTCGAGTTCTGAAATGGCCAATTGCCCCCACAAAGCATGACGAGCAGCTGGTCTTGGTCGACATGTGGCCAACCCTCGAATACCTTCTTGGCGCTGAAATGCTGCCGGGCCTGAATCTCTTGGCCGAATATTAGGTAGAGCGATAGTATGATTTCGCACATGAGATCCTTGGGATGATCGGAATCTGAACCCTCCGCGTCCTCTAACTCGACACAGCTTGAGTGGCAATGTTAGCTGATGAGACTGTATAGGTAGTGTATCATGAATACAATCAACATATATGTAGATATTTACCTTTCCCATATCCTCGCACTCCGATCGTCCCTAGCAAACCTGGAGTTCATGGCGCAAAACGTCGCGTGTCTAAAGAGAAAAATAGTGTTCGTCTCAGTATCGTAGTCGAGATGCGTATTGAGGACATCCGTCCACGCGATGTTCATCTTCAAGACCGAGCAGAAGAGACGCGCGTTGAACCGGTCTGCTCGCAGTGTTGCCGTCTTGGCCCGGTAACTCCGTTGGTCTCCGTCCACCACGGGGCTCAGCTCTCCAAATCTGCGGATCAGCCTGGCGACTGGCATCCGCGGATCTCTCACCAGGACCTTGTTGGATAGGATGGACCAGCAGCGGTGGATCGATCCGGGGATGCAGTCTCCGATGGTGAACATTGTCTGGACAGGGGCCTTGGCTGAGGGGTGGAAAAGGTGGGCGGAGATCACGATGAGGCAGAAGACGTAGAAGTGGTGGAGACGGGTGGTTGAATCGACGTCAGCATCAGCACCGGTGGGAGAGGGCTCGAGAAGCTTTTCTGTCCGCAGCTGCGCGGCGGTGGTTTCCAGGGAGAAATGGGGGTGAGATGAAATGTGCTGTTGCAAAGCGGCTGCTGACTCCAGGTGCCATGATTCCCGCTTGGTCTTATAATTATCGAGACAGATGGTGTCGAATGTCTCGCATAGCTTGTCCAAAGAGGTGACGATATGTCGCATGTAAGATCTCACTGATAGACCACATACAATACCAGGTGTGGAGATGGGGTCGAAGACATTTGTGAAGGTCGAGAAGACCGATGGATCAATGATTCGGTCTAAAAGCATTACACCGTTCAGTCACTGATACTGTGTTTGAACCTGTTGTATGGTAGGTACATACTAAGAGGTAGGTGTGATGGGCTTCTGGATATGGACACACTTCGTCGAGCTTAACCCGGTTGGCGCCATTTCCTAGATATCTAAGTAGTAATCAAGTAAGAAGTGGGTTACATTGTACCAGTATCGAAGATAGGTATGTTAGAATGACAAGAGGATTGAGACCTGTCTCCTTGAAGCCGTAGGTAATATTATACCAGTACCAAAAGCAGGCATGTCGTAACAAATTTCATGTGGGAATTAAGACCTGGCTCCTTGGCAGGTTGCTTGAAGCTGAACTTGGGAAGAAAAGATGACGCACTCCAAGGCGTGAATTCCCAACGTCGCAGCACGTTGTCCGCCCGACCGCACGTCCAGCACGCGAACCACCTTGAGCCTCTCACGCTGCCTACCGGACTTGCTGAGGGCCTGATCGGCGACTCAATGTCCAATTGTCAAGGTCCTATCAAACTGCAATGCTGCATAAAACCCCAACCCCCTTTTGTCTTCATGTGCAGCCTCCCGTCCAATTGATTGGGTATCCCTTTGCGCCTGGAAGAGAATAAAAGCCCTCCTTTGATGCCGGGATGGGGCTATGTCAGGTTTCATTGCATATATTGAAAAGTTTCTTGGCCAGGTTGATACAACCACTCTCCCCCCGCGCGTGCTGCGCGTCCGGCCCAACTTTGACCGGTATTCTGGTGTGCCAGTTTCTGACCACCCTCGGGTGAATGAGCACGTCACCCTGGAGTCTAATCCAGTATTTGCAGACGATATCTCTCATGTCACTTTATGCAACCATTGCCCTACAACTTCACCCACCCATCGCTATCCTCGCAATGGTAACACACACATGACCATCACAAGATGGCAAACTGTCCAATTTCACGCGCTATCCTGGGTGTTGAGAACAGCTTTCGAGACCTTGTCGGCAGTTTCCCAGAGGGAGAAGCCATGCTCAAGATCACCGATGACGGGAAAGCGATGCAATGGATTCAGTCGTCTCCGGACTGGGAATCGGTCAGCCATACTCTGCGTGCGCGTATCGACGGCATGGTAAAGGCATGCAATGGATTTATCAGTGTCATTTATACGTCGGGGATCATTCCGGACAAGTTCGAAAGTTGGCAAGCTCTTGTCCTTGGTAGCTTAGCCCTTTGCATCCGAGTAATTGTGTCAAGAATTCTCCACCAAGAGACCACGAACTGATCAATTCCTAGGAACTCCTGCCGATAGGGGACTCAGGCCGGAATCCTTTCCTCCCTCTGATCGAGGAACTCACCACCAACACGTCTTTACCTCTGCCACTTTTCGACCCGCCGTGCAACAGCAATATCCCTTTCGCAGACTGCTTGGTTCAGCTTTTCGCTGAACTCGCGCTTAGCCTGATGAAGCTTGCGTCGTTCATGATCAAGAACCCAACAGGTCCGCTGCTTCCGCCCTATTTGTGTTGATGCTACGTTTGCCGAGCGGTTTCTGTTTACAGCGACGGTGCAGAGTTTCGAAGAGAAAAGCCCACCGAAAAGTTTACGCAACTCAACGGCGAAAATCAAGCCGCGGTTGTGCGACTAAAAGCTGGGTGCGACAGAGTCAGGGGTTGCACCTCGTCCAATGGCTCGGACAGTCGGACTGCTCTCCCGCTTCAAGAAAAACAAACAACAGGAGCAAGCACCCACAAGTACCAGTCGATTCCTGCTCACTTCAGCCGGCACTTTCAGGGGAGAGAGGGATATTTTACCAAGATCGATCTGACCTTTGCTAATTCTACCAGACGACCTGCCCTGGTCTCACTGTACGGCTTGCCGGGCATTGGGAAGACGCAGCTGGTAATGCGATACTGCAAGTCTAGAGCCACTCAATACGACCTCATTCTATGGACTGAAGCAGACACGGCCATTAAAATCCAGGAGGCGCTATCTAAACACGCTGTCAATCTCAAATTGCCCGGAGCCAAGCACGAGGAGACAGCGCGTTGAACTGCCGTACCTTACTGGAGTGGCTCGAGTTAACGGGTGGGTAACGACCTATTCTCATGACACTGATTTTTTTGTCCTTTGAGTTACTGATGCCAGTCATACAGACGACACCTGGCTTCTGGTTTACGACAATCTCGACGACGTGCAGATCCTCCGGAAGTTTTGGCCAGATAGAGGCAAGGGCCACATCATCGTCACGAGCCGCAATCCTTACACGGCGAGTTTCCGTGCCTGCGCCAGCATCAGCGTCTTACCCCTGAACATGGAGGAGTCGGTCAAGCTCTTCTACAATGAGATCAGCTGGTTCCAGCTCCCGCAGCGGAACTTGAAAATCGAAAAGTTGCTGGGCGACTGGAAGGGCGTTCCGCTGGCCATAAATTAGATGAGCAGCTTCATCACCCGCGTTCAAATGGACCTGGACACGTTCGTCAAGCTCTGCTCAACGAGCGCGCCCCAGCTTCTGCAAAAGACCAATCTGTACGATGAGTGCCCCCATAGTGTTGCCACCGCGTTCGCGACCGAACAGTTGCAGGAGAAACCGAAAGCGATCTTGCATGCCATGTGTTTCTTTGACCCGGACCGAATACCGTGCGAAGTGATTCAATCGAGCTTCGATCTAGACAGGGAAGATGAGGAGCCAGTATTCAACTCGATCATGTGCGAGTGGGAGTACGTTTTCTTTTTTCATATTATCCCGCCAGTCAGCTTTACTCTCCATGGTAGTTACTCACCAAAACACTGTACAGTTATCAAGAGAGTCTTGAGGTACTCATCAAAATGTCCTTGCTTACCAAGATCGAGAACGACATGAGCATTCACCGTCTGGTGCAGGACGTGGTGTATCTGTTCATGTCCAAGGATGAACGACAAAAGGGGTTCGACGCCGTTCTCACAGTCCTCAGCCGGAACTTCCCGACGGGGACCGGTGGTCAAATGTGGAAGGGCTGGCACAAGTGCGAACGATATCTGCCCCATGCGCTCTTTTTGTTTCGCCGCTTTGAGAAGGATTTTCGGGGGCAGAAATCCATCCGGTTTGCCAACCTAGTGAGCTCTGTGACATGGTGAGACTCGGACACGACTCTGCATGAAATTCAACAGTTCTTGGTTCTTGTTCTGACTCTAGCCGCGTAGGTACCTCTTCGAGCGCGGTCTTTTCACCGAAATCGATTCACTGGTGAATCTCGGCCTGGCAGCATCTCCCGACGAAGAGAATCTAGTGGTTGCCTCGATCCCCGGGGACGAACAATTACTTACTGCCGAAAGCTATCGCAGAAAACCCAAAGGGCAGCAGCACGTGCATTATGCTGTTGAGTTTCATGCTGTAGGGGCCCCGTGCCGACTTTATTCGGAAGTCTGAGACGAATTACTAGGGAATGAACCTTGGTCTTCCTTATGTTGTGTGTTCTAACTTTACATGTGTTATGGTCAGAATGCGGGGAAGGACGTGACCCACGGATAAACATTGATCTTTCCTAATCAATTCCGTATCGGATACGCTTGTGACATGCCCCGGCGCCTAGCGGACCCATTGATCCTCATTCTTTCTCCGTCGCCTTTACTTATATACGTGACCTACTATATTTTTGCAGTTCTTGCATTCCACCACTTGCTATATTTCACTTTTCTCGGGGTTTACTCTAGTTAATCTATCTGTCTTCCGACTACACTTGCGCTACTAAATGGCGAGGCCTAACACTTCCGATTAGATCAAGCACTGTGTAAAATACAGTTCGTTCTTAGTGTTTCCGTACCACCGAGCGACTGCTATCACTTTTCCCAAGCGCACGTTAAATTAAAGAGAGGATGCCTCTGGACGTTGATCTACATAGCCTTGCCATTTACTTGCTGTATGTCCACGATGTGGACCGATAACGCTCCATGGTGGAACCTGCCGAAGAGGCATAGCGAAGACGCCGAATCGGAGCAGCCTTCTTCTAGCGGGCACTAGCCAGAGGCGGCCGGATCCCCACTAAGGAACCCGGCGCCGGCCGACCTAATGGAGACAGTGGATCCGCCGCTCGGGCAGACTAATATCTTCCTCGGTGGATAACGGGGTCGGTGGTCTACAGCGAAAAGATGCGAATTAATGATCTCGATTCTATACTGCCCCCCAATGCGCGATGACGGCGGCACATCGGAGGTACAAGGTCGCCTTACCCCGCTTGGTGCATGGCCAGACATCCTGGAAATACTAGAAGCTTCCAGAATAAGACAGAATCAAATGGTCGTATTCGTGCCAAGTAGAAGTCAGCACGCGAATGGAACATTAGTATAACTACTCTCGCATGCCGTACCAACCTCCTCGATCAAAGTTCACTTAGATTAATATACGCCCAAAGTCAAACACTAATCGACGACACCTTTTGTTTCCTCTGCTTAGCGACACTTACACACCACAGACAAACCCCGCTCGGTCTCCTTTCCTCGCACGATGGTTTACCGCATCATAGTGCTAGCGCCACGCAAGGCCGGCGTCACCCACGAGGACTTCAAAGCCCGATACGAGCAGCACATGCACCTCGTGGAGGACATTTGTGGCCGTGACTTGATGCCCCTCCGTCATACGAGGTCGTATATACGTCATGACGGACCGGACGATAAGCCTGTCCTCCTTGCGGGCAGGGCTGAGGACGTACGGTACGACGCAGTCGTGAATATGGACTTCGAAGACGAGGCCGCATTCCAGCGATTCATTGGCGCTTTGTCGACAGAGGACGCTAAGGCGAGGATTGATGCTGACGAGGCAGGATTCTGGGACCGAACCGAGATGAAAGTCGTGGTCATTGACGGCATCGAGGAGACAATGAAATAAGGTAAATAACATTTAGGGTGAGATGTTATGGGCGTGGTAATTGCTTAGCTTGGTTTATATCTTGATAATTCAAATTATCTTTAGTGCGCTATGTGGTTCTTGTCTTCCGTCGCTGTTCTGGCTTGTACTTCGGGGGCACATTACCGATCGATTCCTTCCCGAAGTTGGAGCCATGTCAACAGTGTGGCATTGCTACCACGGCTTCTATCTCGACAAGAAAGTCCCCTGGTAGCCTGCCGGCCTGGATGGTGGTCCTTGCGGGCTTTGGATTCGGTAGCAAGCTAGAGTATACTTCGTTCATGGCTGCATAGTCGCCCATATCAGCAAGAAACACAGTTGTCTTTATGGCCAGGTCCCAAGAAGTGCCAGCCTCCTCAAGGATCTTGGCAATATTGTTGATGACAGTAGCCTGGTATCTATTGTAAGAAAAGGACATGCGAGACACAGTGAGTCAACTGACCGTCTGAGCCTCGATTCCCTCAGGGATTGTTCCGTTGATAGAGGGAACAGTGCCACTAGTATAAACGAGTTCCTTTGTCGCAACACCTCCAGCTGTGTATTATTAGTCACATTATTTAATGTTGAGCTCGCAATGCCTCGCATGGTGACTCACACAAGATTGCACCCTGATTCCCCAGGTAAGTGATAGGTGCTTTGGCTCGCGCTTCAAGGACTGCAACCGCCGAGGCGAGCAAGAGCGCCGGGAGCTCGAAACGAAAAGCACCTATCATCTTGAATTAAAGGTCAAGTTGTAACTTTCGATCGTCAAAGAGTCCTTCAGTGATCAGCGACTCGAGCGATGACTGCGGCTTCTGCTATCTCATATATCTCCACGACTCCATGTATCTGGAGTCATCGAATACTAAGCACGTAAGCTGTTGCACCCTCAAAAAGCTTATCTGCCGCCTATGTAAGCTTAATATCTAATGTCTCAAAGATCCCTAGCTTCTGGTCTTGTCATCCGCGCCCTATTGTTATCTCATGGGGGTCACTAGTGCTGATAAGTCGTCGGCGTCGGCGACGAGATCTTCTTGTTATCGGAGTACCAGGGACTTGCCACTTGTTGAGCCCGCGCAGATCATCGGAATTGGCACATTGAATCCGTCGGTGAGCATCCAGTCCGGTGTCGGTTCTATCATTCCGATCTTATCTTCTGTGCCAATGGCGTCTTGCTTCAAAGTCCCTCATCGACCGACGACGACCCTTGTTCGCGTGCGGGGTCGGAGTTTATCATGATAATTTTGATAGTATCGCTCTGGCGTTAACCGTCGCCTAATTATTCTGGCAACGACCCTTTATTTAGCAGGCTAATTTCCGATGCGGGGCTGCCGGAAGGACTTGAAGTCCCGACCTCATCCGGAGTCATGAACTGGAGTTTCCAGACGACCATGACATGTTCAAGTTTCCTTCTACGGCCGCTTCGTCGCAAATTACAACAGCCTTCAAATTCTTTGTCCGATACATCTAGTGGTAGACTTCCTCCCTTGCGGACCTGCTGTGTTCATGTCAAGTGGAATAGTCGGACTTGTCGAACAACGCCTGCCGAATGCCGATGGAGACCCCGCGTGCCAAGACACACAGGTGTCAAAAGGTACAGAACCAACATGAACGTTTCCTCGCACTCTTCTCATGCCTATCTTCACTTTCCACGTCACCCGGCTGTTCATGTTCCTTATCATCGCCGAGCCTCTCTATGTGCAGCGATTGAACACTCGATAAATCCAGTCATGGACATTGAAGGCATGCGTGCGACGTGGAATCGTGGATCCCCATGGGCCATGGCCCTTCACACGGCGCTGGGCGTGGGGGGTGTGCAGGTCCGGCGATGCCACCTGGTTGGAGGTCGAAGACAAATGCCTCCATGACCCTTATATGGCGCAGAGTTGGTTTCCTGTCGGCCTGTTTGCGCCGCTATTGTTCTTATCATCACGACAAGATGTCGAAGAACTTTTGTATCACGGCTGCCAAGGCTCCGGCGCTCATGGCGTCTGGACTCTGGGGGCTGAACATTGATGCTAACTCGGCTCCGTAACCGGGCAGGATCGCGATATAAAACGTCTGTGGAACACGGACATGATGGGTTGACTGGCTCAATATCAAAGCAAGTATCAGACATGTTCGCTTCCAAGGCCACCTGGCTGCCCTTCTTCGCCCTGGGCTATGGTATTTTAGCCACCCCTACGCCTCACGACACCATCTCCTTCCATGGCCTTTTCGACATTACCTCAGAGTCTGTCCACAATGTTCACCTCAAATACAGCGACAGGGTCCCTCTTGGTGACGTCCGTGTTGTCTATGGCGACTGCACCACGATGAGCCCACATGATTTCCATCACGAGGTAGCCTCGTTCTCCGCCAAGTCTGGGCTCACTCCTGATCGCATTGTGTGGGTAGTACCACATGACATCATGGAAAACGGCTGTCTACACGCCTACTTCGAAAACGGGCTCGTTGGTCGGTCTGAGCCTGTCAAACTTTCCTCGCCTCTCAGTAAACGCCAGTCCTTGGATGAGATTGGCGACTCCAACGGTCTCTGGTTCAATGGCGTGAAGTATCTCAACTCCACCAAGAAGACTTCCGTCTCTGTCGAGGAGGCGAAGAACAAGAGGATTGCCATTGTCGGCGGTGGCATGTCTGGACTGATGACTAGTCTGCTTCTAACGTCTGTCGGCATGACGAACTGGCACATCACCGAGTCCACCGAACGCATTGGTGGCCGCATCCGCACCAAGTATCTCAATGGTTCAAAGCCTGAAGATTACCAGTATCAGGAGATGGGACCCATGCGTTTTCACCGTGTCCGTCAAGTACACAGACACCAACGAGACCTTGGACATCCAAGATCACAAGCTCGTCTTCCAGCTGTCGGACGTGCTCAACGAGATGAACGGCAACGACTCAGAGCTGGCCGTCAAGTTCATTCCATGGATTCAAAGCAATCCCAACACACCAGCGAATTCTCGGGGTTATCGGTTACCCAATGGCCGTATTCCTACCGCCGCTCAGCTCTCGGCTGATCCAAGTGTGCTACCCCCGGTAGCCAATGCTTCTGACCCCGTCGGTGCTGAGTTGGGAGAGGGGTTCGTGGATCAGTTGCTAGACTTCACTCCCGAGCGCATGCGTAACATCTCCGCCAATGTCTTCCGCGCTCATCGCGAGGCTATTGACCGAGGTCTGTTCCACTGGTCCGAAACATCGTTCCTGAAATACAAGCTCGGGCTGGACACAAACACGGTGGATTTCCTGTCCGGCTCTGGAAGTTCACCCATGTGGGGTGAATGGTACGATAGTGTCTATTTCTCTGCGACAAATTGGAGGACTATTGACAAGGGACTGGAGTCTCTGCCGCGAGCCTTCGCTCCTCACGTTGAGGGCAAGATCACATACGGTCGTAAGATCACCGGTCTGGACTACAACAACGATACGTCAAAGGTGTCACTCACTTGGAGGGAGCATCCGCTGGACAAATCCACCAAGACGGAAGAGTATGACTATGCCGTCGTGGCTGTCCCTTTCTCAAAGGTCAGGCTCTGGAGAACGCCCACCTACTCCAGTCTACTGTCGCGAGCGATTTCCACCCTGAACTACGCTCAGTCTTGCAAGGTCGCGCTTCACTACGAAACGAGATTCTGGGAAAGTCAGGAGAATCCCATTATGGGTGGTTGCGGATCAGTCGACATCCCTGGTATCGGCTCTGTCTGCTATCCGGCCTACAAGATCAATTCGACGGGTCCTGGTGTCATTCTCGCCTCGTACGTCAGCGGTGTGCAAGCAAGGTCTGTTGCCGCACTGAGTGAAGAGGACCACGTTGCCATGGTTCAAGAAGCCATGGTGGAGGCGCATGGCGAGATTGCGAATGAACAGTGGACTGGGGCGTACGATCGACAATGTTGGGAGGTTGATGAGCACCAGGCTGGCGCATGGGCCTCTCCTACCGTTGGGCAGCAGGAGCTATTCATTCCAGCTTATCACAAGACGGAGTTGAACACTATTTTCATTGGCGAGCACACCAGCATTACGCACGCCTGGATCTTCTCCGCCCTCGAGTCTGCCGTGCGCGGTACTACGCAGCTTCTGCTGGAGCTTGGGCTGGTGGATGAAGCCAAGCAAGTTGTTGACACGTGGATGGCGCGGTGGATTACAGTTTAGACACTATGACAAGTTTGCAGACATCGTTAGCAAAATTTAGCAAGAGTTTTTTTCACTTTCACGCTCAAGCTTTCCTCGACCGTCGGGATCGCGCATCAACTCCTAGTCAAACAAAGCGCATGTTCTGGAGGCACCGCCATGTTCACAGCTTGTTGGGGCTTATAATATGCGGAGCTGGCAATAGTTTGGCCAATGGTCTGCTCATGTGTTTGTGCGATTCGCTGTAGGAAGACAGCTCGTGCCTACCAGTATCTGCCAGCCATCCACGGTCCTGACGAGGGCATTTGCAGGCCAGCGTCAATGGGGTTTTGCACCTGTTCCTGCAGACTGGAACCCATACCGTCGATTAGACCTAGTGGCCCGAGCCCGGATATGCAGTCTTGTGGAGGATACCCGGCTGACATGGACCATATGAATTCGTCCATGTACGTACTCATTGTATCTCCGAATTCTCCGGTGCCTGTCTCCTCTCTCTGTCCCCATGATAGGCCTAGTTCCGCAGCTTTCGAGGACATGATTTGCACAATCCTTGGCTCCGGGTTATGCTGGCCCCCACGCTGTGCTGTGGCCTGCGTTAAGTCCCACAGCTGGAGTATGAGCTTAATGAAGTGTTTCACAAAGGGCCCGTTTATGTCGGTGTTGTCGCTCACAGCATGACGTGCCTCGTAGTTGTCGCTCATGATGTCCCACGCGCGTTTCGCGACAGGACCTGTGGGTCTCTTCTTCAGAGCTTCGATGATGTGGAAGTAGCCAAGGGCTGGAAACTGATAACGGAAGAACCAGCGAAATCCCTTGACCAAGGTGGTATTGTGCAGTTGCGTATCACACTCGATCATATGTATTGCGTGAGAAAGGGCGTCGCTTGCCTGTTGAGCTGTGATCTTGGCGCCGCTCGCGCACTCTGCGTAGTGCTCCTGGAGGAACGACCTGAACAAGAACGATCTCGTACTCCAGATGGAGAGGTGGTGCAGTGGGTTCCCGGGATCGCAATGATCAAAATAGTCTCGCTCCATTGACTTTGCAAAGTCTGCAACTTGTTTCTCGTCCGCGACCTCCCTTGCCACCGCCTTGAGGGCTGGAGTTGTGAAGTCGAGATAGAAGGAGGCGTGGCGCACGAAGTTGGCAATCTCGCTCCGTACCACGACGAAGAGAGCCTCGCTGGTTTTGGTCTGCGCCACCGGTGGCTCCCGCATATCCACGCGAAGATCATGGTCGTTGACGTTGAGTGGTGTCTTGCAGTCCCAAGTCGGGGTAAGGCAAGTATTCTTGTACATGGCAAGCTCGCTGATTCGGGCGTCAAAGAAGATAAGGGAGTACCACAAGCGTCGACGCAACTCCGCGTGAAGAACAGGACATCTGCTGTTGCTTAGCTCGCTGTGGATTCCTATGCGCATTGCCGTGCGTGTTGCTATCCCGAGCATGGAAGAAAGAGAACGTGGGTCGCATGTTTTTGCCAGGGAGTGCTATCCTCGCAAGATTAACATGCCGAACGACGGGAAAGAACCACCAAAACCCACGACTCACCAGGTAGAGGTAGAACGCCGTGAGGCACTCTAACTCAGAAGAGTGTAGGAACCGGCAGTTAAGTAGGGCCTGTTGACATCCGAAGCGAAAGCGCGTCGAAAGGGTATCCTTGGAGGTGCCGAACGTCGCCTCACAATCCTGTGGGGACAGAGTGGTGAGAGCAATGCAGTAAATACCAAACATGAGGGCTTCCAGCATTGGCTGGATGCCACGTATACTGCCAATGGCTTCTATGATGCGAGACTGGAGCGTTGGGGTGTGTGTGACTTTGAGCATGGGGTCGACGTTGTCGAGGTACACTTGCCAGAGGCGGAACACGTGTGCTGGCTCAGGATGGACACTGGACAAGTCAACAGACTCCTGACGAGAACCAAACAAGATGTGCTCGTCCCCGAGTGAGTCCCACGTCTTTTGCACGATATCGTCGTGCATTTGTTCGGTCACCTCGTCTGTTTCGGATCCGTCGTCATTTTGCTTCTGTGACATAATCAGTATCCGCTGCTATGAAATAGCATGGGCCAAGCGTACGCTGTGTCTCATGGCCTGCCAGATATTCCTATAATCTCGTCAAATTCATGCTCAAGGTCAGAAAAAGACAACTCGCCTTGCTTCGAAGAGTGTCTCTGGCTTGGTCGTGCTCTGAGGAGAGGCTGAAGTCTTGGTATCCGGTCGGTCGTCGTCGGAGGCGTCATTGCTGTGGGGCGGGCCTTTGACATTGGGTGTGCCCAAGTTTCGGTGTAATGGTTCGAATTGTATCTTGTTCTGGCGCAAAAGATCTTCATAGCTGCGCAGCCGCTCCAACAGCTCACGCTCTGGGAAGCGACGTTTCCGACGACGACTCTGTGTCGCGGGGACGCAATGAGCCTGGTTCTTGCTGCAGTTCGAGCAGGGAAACTTGCGATCGCACTTGATCTTGCGCTGCTGACACAACACACAGGCGAGGACTCGCTGGGTTGTCTTGACTGAGGATGCCGAGGGCGGCTGTAGTCGAGAGTGAGACGCCGAATCCGAATCCAGGTCCATGATTCCGATTGATCAGTCCACTCGTGAGATGCAGTCAATCAATTATTCCGGGCGTTCGTAACATGCGTAAAAGCGCACATCGGGTTTGAAGGAAGAAGAGGGACCGATGAATATCAAGAGCAGATGGGTGGTCGCGCATGCTTGTGTGGTGAAGAATACAGGCACGTGTGCCAAACTGCCAATCCAGGGTGCGTGGCGGGTCATGCTAGGACATTAGTAAAGCCCGCGTGAATCCTGCCCCTCAGCCTCAAGTTTCAACTCAGCCGTTTTCACTTCCCTCCAGACGCACAGCGCGTACTATTCGTCAAGCAGTGCTTAATGCTTGTCGCGATTGGCGAAGTGGGATGGAAATTCAACGAGACGCCGCTTTATCCAGGACTCCAACGGCAGTCAGACCGTCAGCCAGCCCGGCAGTGACTCAGCGGCGACAGCGCGTCCATCGCCCCCCTCGTCGGTCATTAGAAAAAGCCGACGGACATTTTGGCGACACGCCGTTCACCAGTTCGCAACGCCTTTGGCCAATTGTGTGTTGCTCGGGGCCGGCACGAGGCATGCAAACTTCAATCTCAAAATTGTAGATATATAATTCACCGTGTCGGGAGGGACCATGATCTTCTGGCAACTATCCTCCACATACCAGTGCCAAACTTACATCGACGTCCGTTATCAACAACCACCACCGGCCATCAGAGATGAGCACCCGTCAGCAGATGGAAACGGAAACCGCGGCTGATCGTGCAGAACGACCGCCTTCGAATTCAACATCTGGTCGAAATGACATCGCCAGCCCCCAATCCACTGCACCAGCACCCCAGGAAAAACTGACCGCGCCGGCACCGGCACAATCCAAGGCCAGGGTCGTCCTCCTCATCGCGTCTGTCTTTGTGAGCGTGTTCCTCATCGCGCTGGATAGGACAATCATATCCACGGTATGTATTTCCGATCCACCCTCTTGGATCGTAACCCGCGTGAAAGTCAACGGCTGATCGTTTCCACAGGCTATACCCGCCATCACAGACCAATTCCACTCACTACCAGACGTCGGATGGTACAACAGCGCGTACACGTTGACCTCGGTGGCGCTGCAGTTGCTCGTCGGAAAGATCTACATGTTCTATCCCATCAGAACCGTCTTGCTCTGCAGCGTGCTTCTCTTCGAGATTGGCTCGGTCGTCTGCGGTGCGGCGCCCACATCAGACGTCTTCATTGCTGGCCGAGCCATCGCGGGTATGGGATCCGCCGGCATCATGGTGGGATGTGTAAGTCGCAATACAGTATTGTCTCTGCGCAAGAAGCTGTCACTGACTTCGAAAACAGATCATGGTCATAGTAGCTGTTGTACCCCTGGAGAAACGTCCAAAGATACAGGGCTTCTTTGGTGCACTGTTTGGGATCGCCTCCATCATCGGGCCCCTTGTCGGCGGCGCCTTCACCACGCATGTCACTTGGAGATGGTGCTTCTACATCAATCTCCCCTTTGGCGCCATCGCCTTGGTCGTCATCGCCACCTGCCTCAAAGTCCCCGACCGCGACACGATCAATACACCTCTTCTGGAGAAACTAAAGCAACTTGATGGAGTTGGCACGCTTGCGCTGACAGGGTCCATGGCATGTCTTGTGCTGGCGCTGCAGTGGGGCGGACAAACTTATGCTGTGCGTGTCCCTCCTCTACCCTCTTGAGTCCTGATCCTCGTACTGACAAACACAAGTGGAGCAGCGGTCGTATCATTGCTTTGTTCATGCTCGTGGGCGTCTTTGCCAGTGCCTTTATTGCTGCGCAGGTGTTTTTGCCTCGAACCGCCACTATCCCTGGCAGGGTCATCAAACAGCGCAGCACGTATTCTGGGCTGTGTGCCATTTTCCTCATCGGAGGCAGCATGTACATTCTGAGTAAGCCCCAATGTCACGCCTCACGAGTGTCGATTCTAACTCTACATGTAGCCTACTTCCTGCCCATCTGGTTCCAGGTCGTCAAGGATGTGTCTGCCGTGGACTCGGGCATCCGACTTCTCCCTTTCATGCTTTCCATGGTCCTCGCCACGATGAGCAACGGCTTCTTTGTGCAGCGGATTGGATACTACACCCCCACAGCAATCGTCGGCGCATGCTTGATGACGGTTGGCGCCGGTCTCTTGACGACCCTGCAGGTTGACACTGGCGTGGGGAAATGGATCGGCTATCAGATTCTGGCTGGCTTTGGCCTTGGAATGTGCTTTCAAGCACCCAACTTAGCCGCCCAGACAACGCTGCCGACAGCAGATGTACCCATTGGTACCTCACTGATGATGTTCGGTCAACTCATGGGAGCGACCGTTTTCGTTCCCGTGGGGACCAACGTGCTGAACAACCAGCTCATCTCGCGCCTGTCCAGTTTGCCAGGGTTTGACTCCAGGTCCGTCACACTCGGTGGCGCAAATGCGGTATTCAGCGACATCCCCGCCGACTATCGAGCCGAAGCACTCCACAGTTACAATGAGGCGATCAGGACGGTTCTGTACATTGGACTGGGTTTGACCGCTGCGACGATTATAGGCATTGCAGGATTGGAGATGAGGAGCGTCAAAAAGAAAGCGAACAAGGGTCTCGAAGCTGGAGAGACAAGTGAAACAAAGAACAAAGAGGGAGAGAAGAAGGTCGACGAATAACAGAGCTGCGGATCAATCGTCGACGAGCAACATATAATGAGGATCAGGCTACCCTTGACCTTGACTTGATTAGTTCATCAACGGGGTTACGGGCTGCCTCTTGTACAATTAATGTAACCAAAATATTCAATAATGCGTATAGACTAAAATCTTGCTTAAATTAAAGGCCGCGCTTTTTGATCTGTGTGTTGTTGTGCGCTGAGTTCCGCATGCTCTTCACATGTGATTATCAAGCCATGTTCGAAATGTTCGGTGATTACAATCTACGTCGCGTCACATTGCGTTTGCACACGACTCTGTTCCAACAAGCTCGCAGAGACAAACAAAGCCGCCCAAAATGTTGTTGATTCGAAACACGCAAGTGTTAAAATCACCCATGACAGTCAGGTCGCGGCCATCGTGCACTCCAAGTTCGCTCTCGCCCTGGAGCCCACCATATAAAGTCGCCAGCCGCGTCATCGCGACAACGCGACACGTGCATCGCCAATGCGAGAAGAAGGCTCCAGAGTCCCAGAAAACTTCGAAGCCGAGTCCCATACCTGGCTTCTGGTCTTCGAGGTCAGCCTGGAAGAGAGCTGCGGTCAATACGACACGCTGCCTGGTTGGTTGCACGATTGGCGACTTCAGCGCAATGTGGTATCTTCAATCCGCTCATCCGCAACTTGGCATCACCGCCATCATGGCATTATCCAGTACGTGTCGCCATCGCTCGCAATCGAACCAGCACATTGTTCTAACATTTTCCCGCCCAGTGGCCGGCGGAGTCACCACATCTCTCTTGCTGGAGACGACTCTGCTGAGATACGGTCGCGACAGGTTGGCCTGGAGGGCTGCAGCGCAGACAGCCGCGGGAATGAGTATGATATCCATGCTGACGATGGAAGTGGCGGAGAATATGGTAGACTACCATCTCATGGGCGGTGCTGTTCAGTTTGATTCTCCCTCATTCTGGGCAGCTGCCCTGGTCTCCACGGTCGCTGGGTTTCTCGCGCCATTGCCATACAACTACTATAAGCTTAGGAGGTTTGGTAAGGCGTGCCATTGATCACCGACTTCCGTACGTTCATTCACTTTACCCAGTATGTCGCAAGCATTGTGTAATCTTTGTTGTGCAAGTGCGGGTTTATCGCCAACGCGAAATGAACGCAGTGGGGTCCAGTGACCCCAGTCCCCAAGATGCTGCGAGATTTGTGCCGTGGTGTGGTGGGCTAGTGGCCGCCGGTCGCCACTGGGGCAGTGTGGGTGGTGAGTGGTGAGTGGTGACTGGACGCACAATCACCGCAGTGACCGCACGCAGCAGAATCTCTTCACAGCCTTCAGATTACCTTACAGAGTTCTGAGAAGGAACTCGAATCAACCTTCCGATCCACGCAGCTGGCAAATTTATAAGTTTAAAACACGGCAAGTCGGAGCGTCACGTTGATTTCACATTCCAAACTCACACCTTCCTGCCAAGAACGACTTGGACTTGACTTGGCGTCACTACTTGCTCACATCCTGACCTTTCCAAACGATTTTGATTCTTACGGCAACTCAAACCACAACCACTCGGACTCTTCCATCGCAGTCCGCCAGAATGCATCCCGAACAGCGTTCTGAAAGAACTAGCGCAGGGCCGCGCACGACGACGACGTTCTTCGTACCGGGGACCCATTGCTCGACCTGCGCATCTTTCATCGAGACCACCATCCGGAGAGTCGAGCCAGACGCCGTTGTCGAGACCTCCATTCTCTCTCACAGCGTCACTATTCGCCATGGGCCCCAAGCCAGCATCAAGGCCATGGCGAGAGCGCTGGGCAACTCTGGCTACGAGGTCCAGTCCATCGCAATGGATCCAGAAGCTCAGCCGAGAGCCCAGGACGCGGTACAACCGAATGCTACAGACCACAACGCTTTGAGTGATGACTTCGTGCTTGGTGCCTGGTTCAACCATCCGGCCCAGCCATGGAATGTCGTCGGGCGAATTCGACAACGACGAGCCAAGCAGCGTCACATCGACAACTGTTTCGAGTGCAAAATGAAGCTCAAGCCAGGCTCAAATGGGCATTCGACATCGCGCTCCGCCCTAGCCCCTCCCACAGCCGAACCTGGTGGCGCCGTAAGCGACGTGGTTCCAGCGTCTGCCCCCCAGCTTTCCCAAGTCGAAATGTCAATCGAGGGGATGAGCTGCAGCTCTTGTGTCGGCAAGATCACGGAAACCCTGACGGCTGAGCCATGGATTGAGGCGGCCGATGTCTCCTTGTTGAATCGGTCGGCGTTGGTTCGTTTTCGCGGCGCGGACAAGGCCGAGGACATTGTGCGCCTTATCGAAGATATTGGCTATGATGCGCGCATTGAAAGCGTTCAAATCCTGGACAGCAAACAATCACCAAATACTCCCGACGCTCCAAATGATGTTTGGCGTGCGCAGGTTTCCATCAACGGGATGAGTTGCAGCTCATGTGTGGGCAAGATAACGAAGGCTGTCGAGGCTCACGGTTGGGTGCAGACAGTCAACGTGAATCTGGTCGCCAGCAGCGCGACGGTCGAATTCAAGGGCAAAAGTCACCTGCAAGACATCCTGGACACCATCAAGGCGAGCGGCTACGATGCGAAACTGAGTGACGTGGTAAACACCAATGCCCTCAAAGACCAACCTACTTATAGGACTGTTGCGATACGGGTGGACAACATGTATTGCGAGCACTGCCCGGATAGAGTCATTGCGGCAATGCAAAGCATGGAATCGACGGTCACGATTGACGAAATGCCCACTCTGAGGTCTCCAATCATGACAGTGTCGTACACTCCCAGGGCACCCGACTTCACCATCCGAACGATACTCTCCGCCATTACGTCTGCTGATCCAGCTCTGGATGCAGCCATTCATCACCCCCCCACTGTCGAAGAACGATCGAAGCAGATACATGAGCACAACAGACGACAACTACTCTATCGCTTACTCTTGGCCGTTGCGGCTGCTATACCCGGTTTCGTCATTGGCATTGTATACATGTCGCTGGTCTCCGAGCACGATCCGAATCGAGTGTACCTGATGGAGAAGTGGCACGGCGTGTCGAGGGCCGAGTGGGCATTGCTGGTGATTTCAACCCCAGTCTACTTTTTTGGAGCCGACGTCTTCCACCGTCGTACCATCAAAGAGCTGTTCGCCATGTGGAAGCCAGGGAGCCCAGTCCCTCTTCTCCGACGCTTTTACCGCTTCGGCAGCATGGACATGCTTGTCTCCTTTGCCACGACAATTGCTTATGCGGCATCTATTGCACAGCTGGCCATTTCTGCCTCTCGGAGAAGACGTGGGACGGACATGCCTGAGATGTCATCTTACTTTGACTCTGTCATTTTCCTTACCATGTTTCTACTGATTGGTCGCATGATTGAGGCCTACAGCAAAGCCAAGACGGGAGAAGCGGTGACCAAGCTGGGCCAATTGCGACCGAAAGAAGCCCTCCTGATTACTTCGTCGGGACAGCGAGTTCATGCACCAACAGATACACTCGAGACTGGGGATTCTGTTGTCGTGGTACATGGAGCATCACCGCCATGGGATGGGACACTTCTCGACAAAGAGGCCGAGTTCTCCGAAGCGAGTCTGACTGGCGAGTCAAGATCCATCATGAAGACGGTGGGTGATGACGTGTACGCCGGTACCATCAACAAGGGCGCGGCTGTCACGATACGGATTCAGGGTGCAGCCGGCGAATCCTTGCTCGACAATATTATCCGGGTTGTCAGAGAAGGCCAGGCCAAGCGAGCCCCGATAGAGAGACTCGCAGACACAATTACTGGATACTTTGTTCCCTTTGTGACGCTTTTCGCCATCGTCACTTGGCTCATATGGCTAGGCCTTGGCGAGTCGGGTCGGCTGCCAGATGATTACAAAGACGTCAGGGTCGGAGGCTGGCCATTCTGGTCCTTGCAATTCGCCATCGCCATCTTCGTCATCGCTTGCCCGTGTGGAATTGGCCTCGCAGCACCAACAGCCCTTTTCGTCGGTGGCGGGCTTGCCGCAAAGCATGGTATACTGGCCAAGGGCGGTGGCGAGGCTTTCCAGGAAGCTAGCGATATTGACATTATCGTCTTTGACAAGACCGGCACACTCACCGAGGGTGGAGACTTGAAGATTACTGAGTATCTCTTGCTCCAGGGTGGTACCAATGAGCAGGTTTCTGATCGATTTCTGTCGCGCGTTGGGCAGGTCGAGCGCAACAGCAGCCATCCGATTGCAAAGGCTCTGGTGGCCTGGTGCGAGAAGAGAGGATCCGGCGGCGCGACACCTCGAGAGGTGCAAGAGATTCCTGGCAAAGGCATGATGGCAGTCTTCTCTCCCGACGATACCCTCCCCGGCATGGAGATGATTGTTGGAAACGAGAGATTGATGCATGACCACAAAGTCCAGTTTGATGCTTCGACCGCCGCGACATTGGACGTGTGGAAAGACCAGGCCAAGTCTGTGATTCTAGTCGCTTCACGCCAAATCGAAGGGGATGCGCCCTGGGAGCCAGCTGCTGTCTTTGCCTCTTCGGACCCCGTTCGCGCCGAAGCGCAGTCTGTGGTGGCCTCGCTTCACGACCGTGGCGTCGATGTCTGGATGCTGTCAGGAGACAATGCGAAGACAGCAGAGGCCGTGGGGGCTATGGTATCTATTCCTCCAGACCGCATCATCGCAGGCGTGCTACCAGAGCAAAAGGCCGACAAGGTCAAATATCTTCAAGGGAGTCAACCAAGTCGACAGAAGAGCCGTTTTGCGTTCAAGAACCAGACCTCGAAACGCGCGATTGTGGCGATGATTGGCGATGGCGTAAATGATGCGCCAGCACTGACAGCCGCCGACGTCGGAATCGCCATTGGCGCTGGATCCGATGTAGCAATCTCTGCCGCCGGATTCGTCCTGATCAAGTCGGACCTTGACACATTGCTCACATTGATCGAGCTCAGCCGTGCCGTCTTTAGGCGCGTCAAGTTCAACTTCCTCTGGGCGAGTGTTTACAACGTTGTGGCCCTGCCCATCGCCGCCGGTGTTCTCTATCCGATCAAGACCAACGGCTCATACACGCGACTCGATCCTGTCTGGGCCAGTTTGGCCATGGCACTGAGTAGTGTCAGCGTCATCTCCAGCAGTTTACTGCTGAGGAGCAAGCTTCCGCTAGTTGGTTTCCGGACGTCCAACAAAGAACCAGAGCACCGCCCCCGTTCGGGATAATTTGGGTGTTCTGGAAAGCGAGTTACAAGTGTTGTATTAAAGGAATGCAATCGCTGTATCGCGTAGGTGGAAAGGACTGTCTGAGACGCGGGCGTTCGAAGCTGGCGGGCAAGGAACTGAAGGTGCGTGGAGACAGAAGGCGAAATGGGCGAGGAGGCCATGATTTACTATTAATTCACACGAGTAATTTTAGAGATTCAGTCCTGGGTCCTGAGCCAGCATCCAAGACAAATGCACAACGACATTGATCCGCCCAACTTTTCGAATTCCCCGCGAAGCTAGTCGCGAGCCTAATGGTCCGCAGGCTCATGATGCACGTAATGGACAGGCAATTCTCCGAAACGTGCCGACTAACTTATTTCCGCCGCGAGCATTGTTCGTCCCTTCGGTCGAAATACGTACGTTGCAATGATCTATAATAAATCTGCTAACCCAGGGACCTTGATGGCCTCACGCATGAGTCGAATCTTTCCGACACGAGCCCTACTTCAATGTCGCACGGATCGGCTTTGGTAGCCCACTGTTATGACCCAGTATGCGGCCTTCACGTGCTTCCAGGCACACCCCACTTTTTCTACCCACTCACAGCATAATCATCACTTACACGAATAATCGCGCCCGCGATCATTGCGATTATCACGGATCACTACGAATAAGCAGAACAGATCATTATCGGGAATAATAATTACCTTAGTATATAGGGAGCTACGCTTTACTATAGTTAGTCTCTACCTAGCTCCTTAGCTATTAATATAATTATCTACGCAAGATCCACTATCTCGTACATAGACTATAACCCGACCGCTTAAGTCAACGATATCCTAGTATACTTAGTTCAAACCCGA